ACACACACACACACACACACACACACACACACACACACACACACACACACACACACACACACTCTCACACACACAAGTGTCAGTAAGTTTTAGCATTATTCCACTAGTCCTCAAACAGACGGGTTGATGATTCACCTGTTGATTAATTATCTTCATGTTCTAAAACAACTAACATCTCAGATATACAAAAGTAACACTGATATGAACATGCATCTAAACCAGTTCAGGGCTCGTATCACATCACACTGTCTGTTCTCAGATGTAGAATCAGTAAGAAGCTGCAGGTTTGTTTTCAGGTCTAAAACAGCTTTAACTCCATCTGTCTCTAACAGCTTCTCTGATTCATAAGAGCTGTTATTATTCAGATCAATAAACCCGAGCCGCTCATCTCTAACGCTGCACGATCTACAGCCGTGACTCGTTTAACCTCGGCTTACTTTAGAAGAACTGAACCTATTAAGAGTCAGAAAGATACTCCGGATAAAAGCATCTGCTGCATGAGAGAGACATAGAGAGAGATTTTTCCCCTCTTTTATTTATCTGTATGTTTATGTACTTATTGCTTTGGCAACATTGTGATATGTTACACAGTTATGCCAATAAAGCTCATTTGAATTGAACTGATCTGAAATTGAGAGAGAGACATAGAGACACAGAGAGAGACATAGAGAGAGAGAGACAGAGACAGAGAGAGAGACATAGAGACACAGAGAGAGAGAGAGACATAGAGACACAGAGAGACATAGAGAGAGAGAGACAGAGACACAGAGAGAGAGAGAGACATAGAGACACAGAGAGAGACAGAGACAGAGAGAGAGACATAGAGACACAGAGAGAGACATAGAGAGAGAGAGACAGAGACACAGAGAGAGAGAGAGACATAGAGACACAGAGAGAGACACAGAGAGAGACAAAATCAGCAGCCCTTACATAATTCAAGCTCTGGCAACATAGAGACACAGAGACAGAGAGAGACAGAGACACAGAGAGAGAGAGACATAGAGACACAGAGACATAGAGAGAGAGAGACAGAGACATAGAGAGAGAGAGACAGAGACACAGAGACACAGAGAGAGAGAGACATAGTGACACAGAAAGAGACATAGAGACACAGAGACACAGAGAGAGAGACAGAGACACAGAGAGAGACATAGAGACACAGAGAGAGACATAGAGAGAGAGAGACAGAGACAGAGAGAGAGACATAGAGACACAGAGAGAGAGAGAGACATAGAGACACAGAGAGACATAGAGAGAGAGAGACAGAGACACAGAGAGAGAGAGAGACATAGAGACACAGAGAGAGACAGAGACAGAGAGAGAGACATAGAGACACAGAGAGAGACATAGAGAGAGAGAGACAGAGACACAGAGAGAGAGACACAGAGACACAGAGAGAGAGAGACATAGAGACACAGAGAGACATAGAGAGAGACAGAGACAGAGAGACATAGAGACACAGAGAGAGACACAGAGAGAGACACAGAGAGAGACAGAGACAGAGAGAGAGAGAGACATAGAGACACAGAGAGAGATAGACAGAGGCACAGAGAGAGAGAGACATAGAGACACAGACAGAGACAGAGACAGAGAGAGAGAGACACAGAGACACAGAGAGAGACATAGAGAGAGAGACAGAGACACAGAGAGAGAGAGACAGAGACACAGGGAGAGAGAGAGACATAGAGACACAGAGAGAGACATAGAGAGAGAGAGACAGAGACACAGAGAGAGAGAGACATAGAGACACAGAGAGAGACATAGAGAGAGAGAGACAGAGACACAGAGAGAGAGAGACATAGAGACACAGAGAGAGACATAGAGAGAGAGAGACAGAGACACAGAGAGAGAGAGACATAGAGACACAGAGAGAGACATAGAGAGAGAGAGACAGAGACACAGAGAGAGAGAGACATAGAGACACAGAGAGAGACATAGAGAGAGAGAGACAGAGACACAGAGAGAGAGACATAGAGACACAGAGAGAGACATAGAGAGAGAGAGACAGAGACACAGAGAGAGAGACATAGAGACACAGAGAGAGACATAGAGAGAGAGAGACAGAGACACAGAGAGAGAGACATAGAGACACAGAGAGAGACATAGAGAGAGAAGGAGTCCAGCTGCAATTGCTTTGGCAATACAAATGTATAATTTTTGTCATGCCAATAAAGCACTCTTAAATTGAGAGAGAGAGACAGAGACACAGAGAGAGAGACAGACACAGAGAGACAGAGACACAGAGAGAGAGACAGAGACACAGAGACACAGAGAGAGAGACAGAGACACAGAGACAGAGACACAGAGACACAGATACACAGAGACACAGATACACAGAGACACAGATACAGAGACACACAGATACAGAGACACACAGATACACAGATACAGAGACACACAGATACACAGATACAGATACACAGATACAGATACACAGATACAGATACACAGATACATAGATACAGATACAGATACAGATACATAGATACAGATACAGATACATAGATACAGATACAGATACACAGATACAGATACAGATACACAGATAAACAGATAC